TGTTCAAGCGTGTGTTGGCGTCCCGTCAGGGATGCCTTGTAGCTGCAGTGGCTTTATAAAGAGGGAGCAGTGCACAGAGCAGAAGCTGAAGGTCTAAACCTGTCTCCCATGGGGGACTCCATAGAACTCCAATTCATCCAACAACGGAAGTTAGTCAATCGGATTGAGACGAGGGGTTTACTGTTTGGGATCAGAGGCCGGCGAGTGGTTGGCCCTTGGGGATCTCTGGCTGGGCTCCCGGGCCACACTGTGGAGTTGACCTCCTTCTCCTCTTCCCCCCTCCTTGCAGAATCGGAGCACACCCAAGAAGCCATCTGTCTGAGCGAGTGCCGGAAGGAAAAGGAGGAGAGAGACTATTTTTGCCACAGTGAGTTTGGTAAGTGTGTGGTTGAAAAGGGGGGTGCAGGGGAGAGTCAGATTGAGGGGTACACAGCAGCAGAAGGCTCATTGCTGTCGGAGTGTTCTGGTGATAGCAGGAGTACACGAAGGAAGGAGCAGGGCATGCTGGGAGCAGGGCGTGCTGGGAGCAGAGCATCCTGGGATTACGATGGCAGGAGTGGTGCATGCTGGGAGCAGGGCATGCTGGGATCACAGAGCTGGGAGTGGGGTGTGCAGGGATCGAAGCTGAATGGCATGTCCCATCTCCTCCTAGAGAAGCGAGCTCTCAGGGTGTCTCTTTTCGGGGGGACATGGGGGGCGATGGGCTGAGACAGGTCCCTGTTGGGGCTGCACCCTCAGGCAGCGTTCCCCTGCCTTTGCTAGACTGTCACAGCATCCCGCTGAAGAGGGAGCAATTTACTCGACTTTCACGGGATATTTGTCATTTTCTTGGAGCCCACCCAGCTGCACAGTTGCTACTGCAGTCTGATTGACCTGCGGTTCGTCAGCACAAGCTGCCTCCCTAGCTCACATAGCACTCCTGGAAGGACTGAGCTCTCTCTGCTCTCTCTGCTCTCTCCAGTTCTCCTTCACTGCTAACCTACCCAGTCACCAAAATAACCGCCACCAAGGACTCTGATGGCTGAGCACCTTTGTTTCACCTCTGGTTGTTGCCAAAGTTTGTCTTCCATATGTATTCCTTTCTTATTTTCGGCCTGACCACTTGCTTGTTCTCGTTTTCGCACAGCGATCAACGGCATCGTCCACGACATCGAGGCCATAAGCAAAGGGATGAAGATCCTGACATTGCTGGTCAACAGCGACGGCTTCTACAAGATGAGCCAGCTCACGATCACCCCCGACGGTTTCTTCTTCAAAGTCCGGGTTCTGGTGGTGGATACTTACAAGTGCGCCAAGCCCTGTCCGGACCTCAAACTTGGTAAGCCGCAAAAAATACTGTAAGCCACGAGCCACTTTCTGCTCCAGGTGCACACCGACAGAGCTCTGTCGCTACGAGCTTCAGCAACCCCAGGGGCTTATTGTCTTCAGTTCTTATTTTAATTAGTTCCAGAGAATGAGGGTGTTAAAAGTATCAATGCTCAGAGCAGTGCGTAACAGCGCTGTGTCCTGCAGGAGTTACTTTAAGGGAGTCCAGTGGGCTGCCCTGTAAAGGTTACAATGCTAAAGGCCTCAGGAAGCAGGTGAAACAGGGTAAGGCAGGGTAAGGCTGTGGGAATCCAGTGCAAAGCAAGGACAGGCATGGTGGCTTTTAACATTTCAGCTTTCAGACAGGGCTGTGTCACATCCAGAGTTCACCAGCTCATGTCCCGCAGAGCAGTCTGCGCTAAAAATGTTAAGGTCTTAAAGGAATTCAAGCTTAGGCAGATGTAAGACATCTCAACCAGCAGCTACATCACCCTGCAACTCACAGCTGGCAGCCCTGAAGCTCAGCAGGTGTGAGCCTGGCCAGTACCTGGATGGGAGACCTGCTGGGAAAAACTAAGGCTGCTGCTGGAAGTGGTGTTAGCGGGGCCAGCAGGGGGTGCTCACTCCGCTGTCTGTGGGGGTCTTAATGCCCCAGTATAGTGAAGGGGACATTTTACTGTAAAAAAAAAAAAACACAAAACGGGGTGTTACCCTGGTGTCCTGGCCAAATATCCCCTCTGGTCTTTACCAGTCATGGCCTCCTAATAACCCCCCCCCCTCTGAACTGGCTTCATCACTCTGCTCTCCTCCCCACTGAGAGCTGGTGATTTGGGAGTGGACTGGTGCATCATCCAGGTGGGGCTGCACACTGGTGGAGGGGAGTCCCCATGACCTGTAGAGCACTTTGAGTGGAGTGTCCAGAAAAGCTTGATTTAATTGTAAGGAATTATTAGTTATCATTCCGATTTCTATGACGACGTAATAAGAAGTCTGAAAAAAACGAACAAGGCAACAGAGAACCTGTTCGTCATCATAGCTGGTGAGTCTACAGAGCTGTGCTGGTGTTTCCTGTGCATGTTTGCTCCACGTCACTGAGCTGCCTGTGGTGCTGTTGCAGGGAGCCGGTACATTGTCATGGGTCAGATCTACCCCAGGCGGCGCAACCGGCCCAGCGAGCTGCAGGCTCTGCAGGTGGGGCGGCTGAGGGCTGGAGACGGGCTCGTCCGCAGCCACAGCTACGTCAAAAGGTTCAACAAGAGGAGAGACCAGAAGGTGCAGGAGGCGAAGCGCACCAAGTGCCGGTGAGCTCGTGCGCGTCGCCCCCTGCTGCACGGGCACGGACACTGCACCTGCTGCAAGGACACACGACTACTTAAGCAATATTAGAAGTGACTGCCCCTTATCCGGAATTAGAGGGGAGTACAGGCAGCAGTCATTGCATATAATGCATCATGCAAGTCTTTCTATTTATCTATATTTTTGGCTTTTCAGATGGAAGTTGGGTGAAGCCCAGTGATCCCTTTTCTGTACAGTCTGCAGAACTCTCCCCGTTGACATGCTGTTCAAACCAATAATGGGGACCTGTTGGTTTGCACCCCATTTGCTGTGCCTTTTATATAAAGCCAAAATTAGGCCAATGCCGATTAATGCGATCTATAGTTAATAATGAACAGTAATTGCTGAGCTCTCAAACCAAAAGCAAAGCCCGTATCCCCAGGTTTACGGTCGATCTGTGCTGGGGCTGCAGGGCTTGCTAGCAGTGGCGCAGCCCCAGTCACACGCATCCTGTCCCTGTCTCAGCGTGGGCAGCCCTGCCTTTGGCCGAAGCGGCTGTACTTGTTCAGGTTGCTCAGCTGTGCACTCTGCTGTAACTATTACTTTGTTTAGGAAGCACTTCTCCAGAAGCGCTGGGTAGGTCCACAAGGGACGCCTGTACTGCTGGAAACTTTGCGGGAAGACCAGGGAGTCTCTGTTGACTTTCCCGAGTGGCCGGCCGAACAGAAACTCCTTCATGTGCCCGAGTAAACAGCGCTCTGCCCTCACTCCGCGATCGGTCTCTTATCAGGGGTCAGGAAATGCAGTTGTTGTTGTTTTTTTTTGCCATGGAGGGGAGGGTAAGAACAACAACTAAAGAAAGGAGGCCAAATTGGTGCTTTTACAAGCAGAGGTCGTTTTCTTAACTTTAATGACGTGTGGTACATGTGTCAAAATATTTGCCTGCACGCAGACTTCAAAGCCAGGGGCCGGAGGGGTGTGTGTGTGCGGAGCAGAGGCCGTAAATCTTCCTGCGGGAACCCGATCTGCGCGCCATGGGCCGCTCGCGGACGGGAGACCCCCTCCGCCTGTTTGTCCAGGACCCCTCCTGAGAGCTGGGCTCAAAGGAAGCATTAAAAAAAAAAAAAAAGACACGAGGGGAAAAAGGAAGAGGGTTATGCAAATGTGCTCCGCAGTGAAATGGCACCTCCCTCCCTCTAGCAGAAGTCTCCAACTGCACATGAAAGCGTCCCGTCCCTCAGCAGTGGGCAGGCGCGGGTAGTTTTGACCCAGGGTGGGCGTGATGTGAAGATAAAAAGCTTTGGAACTCTGCTGCTGCCGCTATGTCCTTTTCTGAACGATATATTAAAATATATTTTTGAACACTTTGCTTCTGCCTCCTGTTTGACTGTGGGCGAAGGAACGGTTTTTGGATGTCGAATTGCTGTCCTCATGTCATGTCATCATAAAGCGCTCTGGGCTCCGGTCCTCTGCTTCCACCTCAACTGCCCCGACTGCTGGCTCATCCTGACCTTCAGCTTTCCGGGAGCATTTTTTCCCGCTGTTGATCTGAAGGCAGTGTAATCTGTTAATTGTGTGTGTGTTGAGGGGGTAGAAGAGTCTCATCCAGCGTGTAAAGATGGATTTCAGGCAAAGGCACCCGAGGGGGTTGGGCAGTTTGCTCCAGATCCTCAAGACGTACATTCAGACTTCTCCATTCTCCACCCAAGGATGTTTCTACACTACGCAATATGTGCGACTGACCGTCTCGGTAGCAGTTGCCATCTAGTCTACCTTCAAATCTGCAGGCAGACTCAGGCGTCTGCTGCCATCAAGTCATGGGACACGCATCTTCACCTGCAGATTGAACTTCGTAGTGCAGCGCGTTCCAGTGGACGTGCAAATTGATTGACAGGTGGAAGCAGATGCTATACAGGAAAATGGCCGAACATTTCAAACCCTTCATGGCTATCTGGCAACTGTGCTTAGGGCAGACCAAAAACGAAGTGAAAGACCAGGTTCCTAGTGCTGTAAACCTACAAAGCTAAAGGAATGAATCGGTGCACATGGCTCACTACTTCATTCTTGTTCATGAATAGTGCATGCAAGAAAAAGCCAGATGGCAGGTTTTTACTCTATATTTTTGATTTGCAAAGAGCAGCAACTGGGCCCGGAATCCTGTTCAATAATTTACTGGCTAGTTTTCACAGCTGCGTGACCTCTGACTTGCTATTTTTACACGTACATTTCCCCGGGAGAACAAACAAAACAATCAAACAGGAGCGTAACAAAACTGCAAGAATTTCAGTCTTGCACAACTCTTGATACATCTGGAAAGGTTTCAGAGCTTTAAAAACGTTATTCATACAAACATCTAATGTACCTTCCAGAACTACAGCAACAAACGCCAATGTACCCTGAAATCACAGCCCATTTGAAACCACAGCTTTCGGCAATCCTGAGATTTCCAAGATGATAAAAATGCAATAAAAGGGATCAACTGTTGCCTCACAGCAGTGATAATTTAGGAGAATGTAACAGGGCATTAGTTGCAGAGTACTTTTCTTAGCTGATGCGATTAGCAATGGTAAACTCTTACAAACAGCTAGCTAAGCTCTTACCAGACTGCAGTATCTGTGAAAGAGATCAGCACTCTGGGAGAGAGATGCGGGCCAACAAAGGCTTTCGTCAGGTCTGCTGGAATCTGACTTTACAGAGACGTTGGTAGAGGCAGCACCTTCCCACACCAGGCAATTAAAGGTCTGTCTTTTTAAACTGAGTCAAGGCATTTACATATACTTGTATTAAATACATAAACATTTACCAAAAAAATTTGAATAACCTTCCCCCACAAAAGCTACACACCAAGCATGAACCTACTCTGTTGAGGCATCTATGATTTAATAAAAATAGACATTTAGAGCAATTTAGTTGATTGATCATATTTGATTTGACCATGATGGGCTTTTTGCAGAAGCACTAAATCTGCTCATTAGTGGAACAGCTGACTGGGCACTGATGATGGAGAGCTTTAATCTACTGAAAGTGACAATCGTGAGAAAAAAAAATACAGGGAACTCTGTATATCTTCATGCTGCTTGTGTAACAGCAGCTTTCTTTCACCGTAAGAAGTCTTGTCTCATGAGCCCCCACTGAAGTCATGGGTTGAGCTAGGATGAGCTGTGGCATCTAGGGCTCAGAGACCAGTGAATAGGCACATGCCTGTCCAGTCTCTAAAGGAGGAATAGGACAGAACCCCTAGAGACATTGCCTGCAATCTCGTGAAAAGCATGTCGCAGATGTACAGCATCTAGTGCTTCCAGTGTTGACTAATACGGCCAGCAGCTATATAAGTCTGCAACTCGCAACTGGCAAGGCACTGAAGCTCAGCAGGTGTGAGCCTGGTCAGTACCTGGATGGGAGACTCCTGGCGTAGTTCTGAATGTAGTTCAGAACTGGTGTAGTTCTGGCGCACTATGGCTGCCATCGCATCATCCAGGTGGGGCTGCACATTGGTGGTGGTGGAGGGGATCCCCATTACCTGTAAAGCGCTTTGAGTGGAGTGTCCAGAAAAGTGCTATATAAGTGTAAGCAATTATTATTATAATACATGCTACTATTCAGTCTATCACAGTACAACCCCTGCAGGTCAACTCTTTGAAGACAAATGTTTAACAGCATTTTGAATTTATTTACATTATGTCAGTGCATCTGCTGCAAACGAAGTCTATCGGTCTCCTGATTACCTTCGGGAAGCTGTTGTAAGTGCAATGTTTTTTCCGATATTCACTGCGCATTCTGTGCTTACCCTAGAGATTAATTTAACACTACTGCCTCTTCATGAACAACACAGACATTTGTAATCCCCATCCTACACAGGAGACAATGATGGAGAAAGGCTGGAATCTCATTTCACTTGGGATTCATTAAAGACGATTGTTCTGTCACACTGTGCTATTCCCCCTGTGGTGTGTAATGAGACTATCAAATACAGCTGAAAATCAAAGGATTGCTTCCAAGGAAGGCTTTAGTTATGTTCTTTGCAACCCCATAAGTTTAGCCTCCACAATTTCAAACCTTTACAAACTTTTAAATTTTAAGTGAATTCGAGTAAGTAGATATCCAAGGATTTCTTAATAGAATTGTATACAAAAGTTAAGCAGAATACAGAATTAACATAACCAACTCAAAAAGGCCAAAAGCACATTTTAATCATCAGCTGTTGGTGTCATATTTTATCTTACTGTTATTCCAAAGACTGGCTTGTCTATTCCTACCTAAAATACTACTTGTAAATAGAAAGGAAGGAAATGCAAAAGCAAAGTTTAAAAATCTATAGTGTAATCAATCTTTCTGAATCCAAAGAAAAATGGTCTAGGCTGAGTAATTCAGATACAAAGCACAGGGCATTCCACGCCTGGCAGAGATCAAGTTTCTAGCAAAGACCTCAAGACGTTTTAAAAGCTCTGGGTGAACATGCTGTTATTCACATTGATATCCTCAAGAAGTCAAGTAGGTGAGAACAATCCTTTGAGTTACACAGGTGATGCAGTGGCACCTGAAATTACATTTTTCAGTTACTCAGTCTGGCCAGACAGTTACTGGATGTTTCTCCTTTCGTAAAACAAATACTACTTCTTAAATTTCTAGGAGCTTTGAATCCAGCTGTTGTTCAGTTTTGCGAGATCTTAATGTGTGAACAAAACCGTCCTGGTCTGGTGGCCTCTGAAAGAGCAGGGAATGACGGAGACAGATGCAACTACCACAAGAAATAAAAGATAAATACTCCGAAAAACTTCACCCTTAGAACCTCCACAGAGATTGTTTTCAGGGTATGCAGACGAAAGCTTACCCGACGTCTGCCCGGCCAGTAAATTACTTTGACGATGGCTTTGTCCAGGCTTGTCCAGCAGACGCACAGGGAACAATAAGGAAACGGTGCAATCTCTAGCCAAAAGTTATTTGATGTCAAAAACATTACTTTATTATCTAGGATGAAATGTCCTATCAAGTACAAAAAAGGAAATAACTCTTTAGAGTTGCCACAATCTGTTAAAAACATAGATAGCATCTATTCCCTACTGGTAGGAAAATGTTTTCTTTTAACCAACATTACTCAAAATGAAAAGTTCCATAGATATGAATAAATAATACAGAAATACTGTGATGCTGTGACGAGATGCGCAGATTTGTTTTTCTTTTTACACAACTCATGAAAGAGTCTATAGATCCCCTCCCCTTTAGTCAATATGCATACAATATGCAGCATTTTTTTAAATATAAAGGGCAATTTCACCTAAATGCAACTAAAATTTCCAAAGTCTCAGTTAAAAAAAAAATGAAGCAAAAAGACAGGTAAGCCTTGTAAGATCTCTCTAGGCCATGAAAAAACCTTGAAATTCTAAAATGAAAAGTTATTCATGAGAAATAAAACTCCAGGTTTCCTCGGTCATTACTAATGCATCAAAGCAGGATGTAGGTTTTGAACCAACAAGTGAGAGAAGCTGCACAAGCACAGAGTATTTATACTTCTCCTTAAGTGCCACACTTTTCCATAAGCATCACATAAGAGTAATTCGAAGTAAAAAAAAATATAAAAGCTAAATACCTGTCCCCGAGGGTCGTACATTATTATATGTATGAGATTTTTTTCACTGCCCTCTTCCCTCAATAGAACAGAGCCCCATGTATAAACCAAATAGTCACAAAAATACAAAGTGCTCATGATTAGAAAAAATTCCTGAAAAATCAGACAGATTCCAAGTTCTCTTCAACCACTGCGTATATGTTAGAAAGTAAGGGGGGAGACATTAAAAAATAATTTATACTAAAAATTCACTGGCCCTTAAAAACACAACATTTTGTTACCTATTTCAAAGCTTACCAAAACCGAAGCAGCACAAGTATCATAAAGACGATGACAGCTGTCTCTGAAAAATATTTTTTATAAGATTCCAGGTCATCAGCATTACATTTAGGTTTAATCTGCCCTTAATGATTTCCTCAAATCTTTTCCATTTTTTTTTTGGACAGACTTGGAAAAGACCCAAGGTTTGTTTTTGTTTTTTTTTTAAACAAATTTCTACAGTTAAGAACTTCTGGAGACACCTCTATCAGTGAGGAAGAGAACACTGTCTTCTCCATTTATTATGTTTAATATACATCAATATTTTTTGAGCTGTAATACAAAAAACAGAAAAAAATTCAAAATCTGACAAAGTTTTACAAACAAGAGGCCTTCAAATACACATTGCTCTTCAGCTTTTTTCAGTCTGTCATCACTGGAGGGTGATTTATATATATAAATTCGTCTACATTTTAGTGCTGCTGTCTGGGCTGCTGTCTGACCAACTCAAAGCAAGCCTTCTGTTCAAACATTATACCAGTAAAACCCTTGCCGATTCTGAAAATGTTACACACGTTATCAGTTCCTTTCGAATAAAGAAAGGTTCTGTGGATACTGTTTTCTCCGATACCCTTTTCATTATGGGAGTCGCAGGAGGAGATGAAAAGCAGCCATAACCCTTGTGAGAAAATCCAAATTTATCAGAAAAAAACAGATTAGTTGACAAAATGGAATTTAATATAAAATCTGAATGATCCTAACAATAAATACAGCTCTCAGAACGCATTTTTTTTTGTTGTTGTCAGGGGTGATAGCCAGCTTATCTTTACTGTAGAGCTTTTCTTCATGTCCCCTCTTTAATTGGAAAAAAAAAAAATGAAATAAAGGAAAATAAAAAAGAAGGAAAAATCAAACCGCCCCCAGTGCCCCAATCCTTTCAACGGCACCCCTCCCCTCCCCACTGTCCTCCTGCGTTTCACCGGAGAGTCACGGCTGAAAGGCGCTCCCCTCCTGACCCCCGCCTCCGGGCTGCAGCCAGGCTGGCCAGCGGCTGTCCCATCAAGTTCTCGACTTGGCAACGGACTGGAAAGATTGCTGGTTTACTGGGGAGAGAAGTCCGCTCAGGGAAGGAGGGGGGACAGAGCTGTGGAGAAGCCTGGTTCCCGCATGGTTTAACGTTCTGAGACAACCAGATTCCTGCGGTCTGTGACATAGAGCATACAGCTGTGTATTCTAAGAAGCTGTAGTCTGCAGTTTGTTGTTATGAGACCTACAGAATACGGAAAAAGGGGAACAGTTGAGAACCCTTTGCTTTGGTTGTTAAAACGGTTATAAAGGAAAACAAAAGCATCTACAGTACAGGATGCCAGGGGGGGTCAACCAATTGTAACAGCAGAGAGCAGCCATGTTGTGGAACAACACTCTGTGACTATATTAAATAGGCACACTGATCAAGCGCATAAAAAATAGTTGTGTTCTTATAGCTGTCCGACGTCAACACTAACTTGCAACGATCTCTAATGCAATGATTTTTTATGAGTTAATTGTAGTATTACAGGAAGGTTTGAAGGAGGCATCTTTAATTTTGTATCTCGGGTACAAAGCCTTCCTTTGCAGAAAGGAAGGTAGAAAAACTGCTTCTCAGAAACCAGCATGGTTCTCCCTGTAGCAAAACTAAAAATCTGCAACATCCAGAAATGTTGTCATTATCTGGAGGTTCTTACAGGATTACTGGTTAGTCTTGTATTTTAATTAATGGTACGCTGACATAAACCTGCATATGAAGCTCATGATCTTTTTGCTTTCTGTTTAAACTCGTGCAGAAGGGTTCTAAGGCTAAGGACTGCTCCCACTAAAAGCAAAAAGATCATCTTGGTACTGTTTGCCTCCACGTTTCCTTTGGAAGATGACAGAATGGCAAAAACATTACCGCAGAACATAAACCCTCATTTATATTGTGGGCATGGTCACTCATTTTTCAGTTCATAAACGTCTACATTTCTTTTTAACGTGATTTTTTTTTTGCAAGACTGTCAGTCGCACATATTGTTGTTTCACACAGAGAAGAAACAAAACTTGAAACAGGAAGAAATGAAAAACGTGTTGAAACCTATGTAACATTTCAGTCAACATGGCTGCCATAATGCGATTGTCACTGGAGGCATCTTTGGAGCTTGGTTTTAAGGCTTATTATTACTACTTAAAAAACGAATTAAATAGCATTTATTTCAACGAATGCAGAATTTACGCTGTTTATGAAACAGCAAGTTCCATGATACAAAATATAAAAGGGTGACCCCAGCATCCAGTTCAGATTCCAGTTATTAGGTCAGACTTATGACATCACAATCTGCAAGAAAGAGAGAGAATGGATGGCATAAATACATGCACGCAGCACGGAATGAACAGACAACTGCCAGAAGACAATGAGCATAAAAAAAGCAAAGATAAAAGCAACAGATGCCACGGACAGGTGACATCTGGACATGGGCTGCTGCTGTGATGAAGCGTGTTAAAGCTCTTGTAGGCACACTTGCACAAGGAAATTTAAGAATCGCCCGATTCTCGTGTCACCAGGGGGCTGCGGACGGTTTTCCGACCCCGTTCTCTTCTGCGCCCTACTGGGAATTTGTTTTTGGCTTTCGGCTCGCCGTTCCCGTGTTTCTAAATCATGCATCGGTGGGTAAAGGACGCAAGAGGAGCCAGCAGGCAGGGGTCGAAGCCGCATCAAACACGGTTTCCCACACCCTCGTGCTGCGCTTGCAGAGCAAGAGTTTCTCCTCTGGAAACCACACAAGCTCCTCAACAACACAGCACGGAGCTCCTCAACAACACAGCTCACCCAGTGACCGTCCAACCTACCACACAGTTTGAACAATCATGTTATAGACTGCACTTTTATCCCAACACGTGTACACACGGCTCGGGAAACAATCTTTTTTTGTTATTTTACCGCATGAAGGATTAACGGGGTTTGCAGAGCTCTATGTACTTCTCCACTACAACAGCAAGCTCTACACTGTTATCTATGACATTATTTTTTTTAACATAGCTACTCACTAAAAGCAAACTACACCCGAGATGTGGTTTGACACCATACCGTTGTTAACCTTGTCTGTGACCTCATCAACAGGTCACTATGACATCATAAACTGGTAACTATGACCTCATACTGGTCAAGCAGCTCTGCTGCAGGGTTTCGACTGACCACTTGGGGAGACGTCCGTCAGCACCCCTGCAGGTGCGCTAGAACTTTTTTGGGCGGGGGTAGCAGGCTGTTGACATAGGATACTGGGATGGCATAACGCAAAAAAGAAAATACCCCACTTGCGAATTTCAATTTTGAAGGTCACGTTTTTACATCCCACTCAATATGCGCAGACATGCAAATACAGCCTCGAAGGGGCAGATGAAAGCGGAGCAGGACACGGTGCTCTCTGGGGACAGGAGTGGCAGACCGACGTCAGATGCGTGTCCACAACAGCGAGAGTGTAGAACAGTTCTTTCAATTTCTTTGGAAGTGCGCCTACAAAAAAAACTTTAAGCCGCAGAGCAAAACACAGATGGTTCTAGAACACAAGTACTCCGCAAAGCATGCTTGAGCAGTTGAGATGTGGCCCCATCCTTATATTCCTCAGATCACCGGTCTGGGAGCAGAAGGACGGGGGTCTGCTGCAAGGGCTCAGGAGGCACACTAAACAATGACATGCGTGAATACAGCTGATGCAACAGAGGGGGCATTACTGGCTGAGATGTGATGCTCTATTTAGCCAGAGCAACCGAGAGCAAATTCTCATTCACAATGAAAACACAAAGCAAAAACTGCTTTCAAAAAAATGAAAACTCTTGCTTCTGCGATGTCAATTTAGCCACATTGATATCGACACTTCATTTAACTCAATTTCAGCTCTGCTTTTCCAATCACCCAGGCGGCGAAGGGAAGACAGAAAAGCCCTTGGCAATGGGGCGGAACCAGGTTATTGATGAAAAACAGAAAAGCCCACCCAAGCGTGCATTCAGGCGACGTTGACACCAGAGAACAAAGAGGAAACAAAACTGGGAATAAGCGCTGGGGGCAGGAGAAGAGATGCCAGCATGGGGCGGGAAGAGAGAGTTGGAAAGAGAGTCAGCGAGGGCTGTTCAACAAGCTCGTTCAGCGATTCTCTTACCTGCTTGCTTTGAAAGCTTTAAGTTTCTGTACAAAGAACGACTCAAGAACCTCCGCGCACTGATAGAACGGCGAGTCGCTGGGGTTATAGTAACGGCAGTTGTCGAAGATTTTGGTCATATCTGCCACAAACTCTGTCAGTTTGTTGTAAAATCGTTTGTGCACCCTGTCCTCCATTGTAGCCAGGTCTGCATTAGGGGAATGAAGGATATTTACAGAAATGAGAAGTATTAGAGACTGCCACCCTAGCTTTTATTCAACTGATTCAATGCAAGATGTAACTAGCACAGTTGGAAGAACACCTCACCTCCACAGCAGGCCATCCTAGTGCACTCTGGTCATTATTAAACTGACGAATTACAGACAAGAGGTTTAGAAATTATCTTTGAAAAGAGAACGAAACCTTTGCAATACGCAGGTTAAATGGGAAAAAAGTTCCCTGATGCCACGTTCCCTGAGCTCTCCGGACGCTGTCCTAACAGGCCAGTGCACAAACTGAACAGTCTTTTAGGATTCTCACAACTCTGCAACAGGAATGTTCTCCAGTTTCAGAAAGTGGCATAATGCCATCTATTAATTAAAAACAGAAGACTGATCAGACCCTTCGGTTGTCAACAAGTGTAATTTTCTCTACGGCTGTAACTGTCTTGACTTGCTTTATTGACAAAAAGACGCAGAGGTTTGCTTATAAATTATGTTGTTCACTGAGGCAGAAGTTCTCTGGAAAAGGATGGAATAATCTGTGGCGTGTATAAAGTGTTAGGACATCGGATAAAAACTATCTGATTATTTCTTCAGCGCTCATGTAGAGTGCACAGCCAATAGGAGCTGACCAGAGGCCAGCAGACCACAGAGTGTTAATCTTACCCATTGGTTCTTTGATAACGCCGTAATAATCTGGTGCATCGTTGGGATCTACTGGTTCTAAAAACGGCCAGGCCATTTTGTGAGCCTGTGAAGAGAAATAAAAAACAAAACAATGCAATACGATGATGACAGCATCGGGAAATGCAGGTTAGAAACATGCTGCCGTTTCATGTCGGCACAGCACAAAATATGAGAAGCTCTGGAGAGCTGTGATCATGAACGTAATTTCTCAGAAATGGAAAAAATGAAAAAAAAAAGTAACAGGAGTACAAGTTTGGGCAGCTGTGCCTTTTTCTGGGCACACTATGCAAAGCTCCCCGTCATCCGCAACCAAAGAAGAATCAATCAATTCCATGTGATCAAAAAACTGGAAACTCGATCAACGATCACTCCTTTGTCTGGGGTCAGGGCTAGCAGTGGATGTGCCTTCTCACCTGTAAGGACCGCAGAACTCTCCTTAACCCTTCGTAGTCCTTGTCTGTGAGTGGCGTTAGGACCGTCATGGCGTCCTCTGTGGACTGGCACTGCGGACAGACGTACTCATCGATGAGTGTGGCTTCGCTCTGCAGGATGCCCACGCAGCGCCCATGGTACCAGTTCTGACACCGGTCACAGCCGATATAGAACCTGAGGACATTACAGGGTTTTTACTCAAAGGTGAGACCGGCTTCCCGGACAGAAACACTCATTCCGATCCCCAGAGGTGAAGACCATGCTGCTCCTGACCACTTATTAAATTCTTGTTCACACCTTAACAATGTACACAACAACTCAATCTGAACAAAAAAAAAAACAAGCTAAAAAGAGAAGATTCCACTAATAAAGTAGCTATCCCAAGAGCTGCAAATGTGCAAAAAGTCTGTCTCACAGTCACTCGTACCCGGGCGTAAGCCTAACTCTTCACATACTTGAAGACACAGCAGCACTACGACCTTAGATATAACCCCAAAGCCCCAGACTGCTCTATGCCAGGAACTTACTGCGACTCATCGTACGGTGTCCGACAGATGCAGTATAACTCTTCGCTGTTGCCCTCTTGTGCCCTTTTGCATTCGTTGCAGATGTAATCGTCCATCTTTTTTGCTTCCTTTTCTGTGATGCCAACACACTCGCCGTGGTACCAGTTGGTACAAAGATCACAACCGATGTAGAACCTGAAACAAACAGGAAACGTAAATACATCTGTGCCCGCTGAAACGCTTGTAGTACTCAGACCTCAGCCCTGTTCGCAACTTAGTATTAAACTGAAAGCCTCTTCTATACACATAAAGCTTCACGCACATGAACATTCAAATCAGCAAATACATGAATCAATGTCACCAGGACCCTCACCAGGAATAGGCAGTTAAAAAACGGATGGATGGATGAATCAATGTTTTAAAAACCACAACGGACAGTTTTAATGGCTTTTGCGCAGACTGCAAAAATGACACACACACACAAAAAAAAAACACATTAATGTGACTTCACAGGCCTGTCTATGCAGATGTGTTTAAAACTAGGTCCCTGGTTTGAATTATACGAGCCAACATCCTGGAAAATAAGGCTCGAAAAACCTGAAATAGGTCAAAGTGGGGTCTGTAAGAGGAGTTCTCATCTGTAATAGCAACAGACAGAAATGCCCAAGAACAACTCTCCATCGCCGCCATGCACGTGTGAACAGCCTGGAAGAAGACACTCACTTGGACTCGTCGTAAGGAGTCTTGCAGACGCAGTAAAGCTTTGTGTCCTTCTTGGAGTCCTTTGAGGTAGTGGAGATCATCTTCTTCTTCTTGGGCTTGGTGGCGGAGGAGTCCTTCTCGTCCTCGCGCTTGCGCTTGTGCGACGCTGCGGAGGTGGGGGAGGACATGGCCGAGGCCAGGGCGGCGGCGGCGGCCGCGGCAGCCGCTGCCTGGGACGCAGCCGCCTGCGCCTTCTCCTTCTCCTTCCTCAGCTTGCTCAGGTCCTTCTTCAGCTCCTCCTGCGCGGTCCGAGACAAACAACGCCGGCGGATACTCTCCGTGTCCCGTTTCGATGAGCGTCCCCTCCCATACCCCTCCCCCCAGTTCCCTAGATTCTGTAAAATGTTCAACCTTCAACCTCCTACTCCTCCTCCAACCTCACTGGTTTCATAGATCTTGTGGTTGGGCTTCAGGTTAAACAGTGTAACCGAAGACATAAAATCACTCATCTGCCATCAATTAAGATGCTGGAGAACATTATAATAGATGACCCTCAGATTCAGCAGTAATTCTATAGAAAAACAGCAGATGGTAGTACAGTGAAGCATTAACAGAATATCAGTCACAAACGAGAGGAAGCCACTCAGCCCATCGTCATCCAAAGCGTCATGGATATCTGTACTACGGCTGGATCTAAAGGACTCAACTCCAAGTTGCCTGCTGCCCTTACCTGGACCTCCAGCTGCAGCTCCTTGTCCAGCAGAGCCCTCTTCTTCAGGATCTCGGACTTGAGCTGCTCTTTGTGCTTGAAGAGCAGAGCGGACAGCTTGGTGGCATTCTGCTTGCTGCGTTTCTGCTCCACCGACTCCTCCCTCTTCCTCTTCTTCGCCGCCTGCTTCTCGTCCTTGTCGATCTTGTCCAGGATGAACTTCATCACCTGGTTACACACGATCATTCTGGGGGGGGGGGGGGGGGGGGGAGGGGGGGCG